CACACTGGGGAGAGGAAGCCCCTGCTGCGGCTCAGGACTCATCCCTCCTTCCCCTGGCGCCAGGCAGCGCCTCCTGGAAGGCAGCCAGGAGCTTCCACTCATACAGCTCCCCTTTACTTTCCGCACTCTGGCTACATGGGCCTAAAAAAAAAAGCATTCGGTTCGGTGTGCACATACCACTGCCCCCCGCACCCCCCCCGCTGGGAACCCTCTCAGCTCACCTCCTGCTGGTTAATCTTTTCGTTCTTAGTTCAATTGTCCCTTCAGGAAGCCTTATGCCTCCCTCTCATAGACTTGTCTACTGTTTCAAAGCATGTTGTGACCACTTTCATTTTACATTTATCATCAGTGAGTATTTGATAAGTGTCTCTTCCTCCATGAGCTCAGAAGCTGTGTGAGGGCCGGCGCCATGCCTCCTGTGCACCATCAGCACCTCCCTCCCCCTGCCCCTTGCACGGTGCCCTCCCTGCACGTGGTAAACTTGTTGAGTGAGAGCATGCACCCGGTTTGCTACTAGGTTGAGCCATTTGCAGAATTGGCGGCAGTGCTCCATATGGCCACCAGGTGGGGGCAGAGGCACACTTTCCACTTTCCAGCTGCCTCCTCTCGCAGGCTCTGGGTAGGGACATGACTAAATGGAGAGGCTTAGTGTTGGATGACTTTAAGGTCCTCCTTTTGTGCCAGAAAACGGACATCACGGAGGCTTCCCTGGGGATACTGAGGCAGAGCCGGGTGAAGACGGTGTGGATAGTGGGCCGACGTGGACCCCTGCAAGTGGCTTTCACCATTAAGGTGCTGGGGCCAGAGAGAGGGGGTCTGGGCCCCAAGAAGGTGGTCTTCCCTTGGGAGGGGGAGCAGGACAGAGCCCTTTGGAATGCTGCTGCCCAGGGTCGAAGAGGGGAGCCAGACAGGGCAGGGGTGGGGGGGAGGGTGTCCCCTACCTGGCCTGGGCCCTGGGGTGTGCTCAGGAGTGGATAGTGCTCTGGGCCTGACCTCCTCACCCTTCCCACCCCCACCCGCACCCCCAAGGAGCTTCGAGAGATGATTCAGTTGCCAGGCACCCGGCCCATTTTGGATCCTGCGGATTTCTTGGGCCTCCAGGACAGAATGAAGGGTGAGGGCCCTGGCCTGACCCCCCAGCTCACTAGGGAGGGGATGGTCTAGGTCAGCGAGGGCTTGGGGAGGGCATTTGGGGAGAGGGCTGTACCCCAGGGACAGCCCTGAGATGCTCTGTGTTGCTGACAGAGATGCCCCGCCCGAGGAAGCGGCTGACGGAGCTGCTGCTTCGAACAGTCACAGAGAAGCCGGAGGGGGAGGAGGCTGCCCGCCGGGCAGTGGCCTCCCGAGCCTGGGGTCTCCGTTTTTTCCGAAGCCCCCAGCAGGTGCTGCCCTCACCAGACAGGCAGCGGGTGGCAGGCATCCGCCTGGCGGTCACCAGACTGGAGGTGAGTTTCCTGTTACCCAAAGACACCCCTGGCCTCAAGTCTCCTCACCTCAGCCGGGTGTTGCCCACACTCTCCCCAACAGGGTGTCGGTGAGACCGCCTGGGCAGTGCCCACTGGCGACACGGAGGACCTCCCTTGTGGGCTGGTGCTGAGCAGCGTTGGGTATAAGAGCCGCCCCATTGACCCCAGTGTGCCCTTTGACCCCAAACTTGGGGTCATCCCCAATACGGAGGGCCGGGTTGTGGATGTGCCAGGTGAGAGGGTGCAAGAAGGCTAGGCGCCACACTGTGCTGGGGGACAGGGAGGCTGCTGTCTCCTGGGCCGTTCACATTCATTCATTCATTCATTCATCCAGGGACACGCCCTGGGGAACTGCTCTGAGCCGAGCCCCTCCTCCTCCTGGCCCTGGGGGAAGTTCCCAGTCTAGCTCGATGCCCCCCTATGTATGCTCTTAAGTTGTTCCATGTACGGAGGGAGGCCTGGCCGGGCGAGGCCCTGCACTCAGTGCTGGGTTTGGCGATTAAAAAGCAGCCCCTGTCCAGGGGCTTGCAGTCGGGTTAATTATCCACACACCTGTCTGTCCCTTCAGTAGAAGTTTACGAAGGGCCTGCTGCAACTGGAGGCGGGCAGGACCCAGCTCCTACCCCCAGGGCAGTGATGGCGAACCTTTTGAGCTTGAAAAACCCTAACTTAACTCTGGTGCCATGTCACATATAGAAATGTTTTGATATTTGCAACCATAGTAAAACAAAGACTTCGCGTGTCACTTCTGACACACGTGTCATAGGTTCGCCATCACTGCCCTCGGGCGCTCCTGGTCTCCAGGGAAACAGGAGAGGGTATGGTAAACAGGTCCAGCAGAATCGGGGAGATGGGCCTGTGGCCACCGTGGGCCCACCTGCTGGGGCTGCTGGGAGGACTTGGGATGTTGGACATATGGGCACACGACTGTCCAGCCCCCTGCCCTTCCTTTACCCCTTCGTTACCCCCCCCCCCAGGCCTCTACTGCAGCGGCTGGGTGAAGCGGGGGCCCACGGGCGTCATCGCCACCACCATGACCGACAGCTTCTTCACCGGCCAGACCCTGCTGCAGGACCTGAAGGCCGGGCTGCTGCCGTCGGGCCCCAGGCCTGGCTCTGCGGCCATCAAGGCCCTGCTCAGCAGCCGAGGTCTGGGCCCCTGGTGAACTCCTGGGAGGAGGGGTGGGCGGCCTGGGCCTTTCCATGGGAGGGGGTGCTCTGGGCTGGGATGGAGGAAGAGGCGGGGCGGTGACTCACTTCCCTCTGCCTCAGGGGTCCAGCCCATCTCCTTCTCAGACTGGGAGAAGCTGGATGCCAAGGAGGTGTCCCGGGGCCAGGCCGCTGGGAAGCCCAGGGAAAAGCTGCTGGATCCTCAGGAGATGCTTCGGCTGCTGGGGCGCTGAGCCCGGATCCCAGCCCGGCAGGGAGGGGAGTGCTGTGCGGAGGAGAGGGGCCGGGCCGGTCTGAGCAGGGCTCTGCACACAGCTGCGCCCCCTGCCCGCCCTGGCCCAGGGCCTTGGCTGCCTCTTTTTCAGGGACCAATGAGCTCCCTCCTGCCAGAAGGTCACCCTTGCCAGCGTGGGTTTCACTCTCAGCGAGAAGATGACCTCAGTTAGGGCTGGTGCAGGTGCAGGCTGACCCCCCCCCCCCCCCCCCCCCCCCCCCCCCGGAGGGTCACCAGGTCCAGAATATGCTGAAAATAAAACAGCCGCAACGGACAGCCAATGGTTGATGTGCCTGTGATTTCTTCTGGGGCCGGGGGTCACCTTCCAGCCGCAGCTCCCCTCCAGCCCCCAGGTGGCGCTGCAGAGCCAGCTCCCTGCTCTGGGGCCTCCGGGGGCTGGAGGTGGGTTTGGTAGCCAGGCCTGGCTGGAACCCTCCCTTCTCTCTCCTTGGCCCTGCCGCTGTGGCCTGCCTGCCTTCTGCCCACACTCCAGGCACCCTGGCACCCGGGCCGGCCTGCTCTGCTGGTCTCACTGGTCGGCTACGGGTACAACCAAAACAAGAAAAGAGAAAAAGTGGGAGTGAGGGGACTGGGCAGCAGCTTGCCCACCCGTCCAGTGCGGGTGGGTCCCCTACTCCGTTCCCAGTGCCTCCCCTGCCCCATCCGTTTCCAGCCAGGCCCCCAGGCCGACAGCACTGACATCTCCGTAGCGCTTCGCAATTCACAAAGCACGTTCACCGTCTACATGCCAGTCCCCAGGATGCTGGCCTCGCTTTGCAGACTGAGGGATCCTCGAAATTAGCTGGCCCAAGGTCACACAGCTCGTGAGCTGCGGGCTCGAACCCAGGGCTCCGGGCCGGTGTTTTCTCCGAGGCCGCCTTGGTTTCCAGCCTCGGTCTGGAGACACGGTCCTGAAGAGGGGCGAAGGGATCCAGGCGATGGCGCGCGGGCAGCCAGGAGGGGGTGGAGGAGCGCGGGTCC